CGAAAGCCGCTTTGTTCTTCAATATCTTGTATCTGTCTTTTAACCCTCTTCTTTAATATTCTGCCGTACAACCGGCCCACAGAGCTCGTCACACTAATACCTCGATAACTGAAACAGTCTCTTTAATACCCTCTCCTATATACGAAGCTTATATAAGATTTATTCCAATCTTAAGAAATTTCCTGGTCTCCACACATACATTTATTAAAAAGGTCTACTATTAATTCTAAAAGTGCAGTCGGCCCATATTTAACCAGCTCTATATTGAAGGTTTCCGTCAATTCAGATAATGTTATTATAGGGATTTCCTGTCTTTCGTCTCTGTTGTCTATTAATTCCCTTATCTTTTCCCATCTGTACTCTACTCTATCCTCTTTATAGAGTAAAAAATACAAAAGGGAATATTATTGATGCTGAAACTAGGCAACTTATATGTAGCCACATTACAATTCTAGTCAAAGAGTCTCATTACTCTGGCAAGGAGTTTAAGTACTTAGATGCGAAACTTAACATAAAAATAGTGCACGAATTATTTACTAAAAAGTATCCTAAGAGTACAGTAAAATACAGTTACTACAATACATTTTTTCTTGAAAATTTTAACCTACACTTTGGTAGGCCACAAATTGACACTGCAATGTCTGTGAGGAGCTTAATTTAATAGTTAAAAGTCCTAGTCTTGGTGAAGCAGCAAACAAAGTAGTGATTGCCGAAAAAGTCGTACACTGCCACCGAAGTAAAAAAATTTACACTGTCCTACATGATCAAGTTGAGGAATGCATTCAAAGACATAATGTAGAACCAATCGCCTTAGATTTTATGCAAAACTTTCATTTCCTGCAATTTCTGTACAAGACCTATTTTATCTGTCTCAGCTCACCGTTAATGTTTTTTTATCACCAATATCAAGTCACGAAAATCCGTTCTCTATATTTACCACGAAGTAGAAGCACGAAAAAGCCTGAATGAAATCTGCAGCTTTCTATTAGATTATATTGAAAAATATATTGGACCAGATGTAAAAGAGCTACGCCTGTTTTCTGACAACTGCCCAGGTCAAAACAAAAACCACTGCGTTACAAGAATGTGTTTGGCTTTAACCGATACAAGCAGATTTTAAAAAATTCAAAATTTTTTTCCACTTTGAGGTCATCCATTTCTTCCCTGTGACTATTTCTTTGGGGTTATTAGAAGAAATTTCAGAAAATTTGACCGATTTTTGTCCAAAATTGTACCAAAAGTGCTACGACCAACAGAAAGATATATTTATATGCTTTATAGACTTCGAAAAAGCATTTGATAGAGTAAGACACGACCTACTATTAGAACGTTTGCAAGAAGTCGGTTTAGATGAAAAAGACATCAAATTCTTAAAAAACTTGTACTGGAACCAAAAAGCCAGAGTTAGGATCGAAGGTTCCACATCCGCAGAAGTAGAAATTAGGAGGGGAGTTAGACAGGGATGTGTTCTGTCGCCTCTGCTGTTTAATCTTTACTCCGAGTTTCTATTTAAAGAAGCATTGGAGGATTCCAAGGATGGAGTCAAGGTGAATGGCGTAAATATCAACAGTATCAGATACGCCGATGATACAGTGTTAATTGCGGATTCCGACTCAGGTCTACAACGACTCATCGACAAGACCAACTCTACCTGTGAGCAATTTGGTATGAAAATAAACATTAAAAAAACCAAAGTGATGTCAATCCGAAAAAAACCAAAACGTACCTCAACCTTGCACAATAAATGGGCACATCTTAGAACAGGTCAATAGATTTAAGTACCTGGGATGTTGGATCGATAGCAGCCTAAATCCTGATCAAGAAATAAGATCGAGAATAGAACAGGCTAGAAAATCTTTCGAAAAAATAAAAAAACTGCTTTGTGATTCTCGAATAAAACTCGAAATTCGACTACGTTTATCAAAATGCTACGTCTGGTCGACTCTTCTATATGCAGTTGAAACGTGGACCTTAAAACATCAACCGTAAATAAATTGGAGGCCTTTGAAATGTGGATCTACCGGAGAATACTAAAAATTTCATGGACATCGCATACCTCAAACGAAGAAGTGCTGCATAGAATAGGCAAGGAAAGAGAACTTTTTAACACAGTAAAAGTAAGAAAAACATCATACCTAGGCCACATACTGAGAAATCATAAGTACCAATATGCCCAACTTATAGTGAAAAGAAAAATCGAGGGAAAGAGAGGCCTAGGAAGGAAAAGACTATCATGGCTCAGAAACATCCGACAATGGACAGGGCTAAATTTTGAACAGCTAATAAGAACAGCTGAAGATAGAGAAGAGTTTAAAATTGTAGTAGCCAACCTCCATTGAGGAGAGGGCACTTTAAGAAGAAGAAGACCGATTTTTTGACATCCATAAGTACACGGAGATCATTGTTACCGCAAGTGCCCAAAACCTATTCACGGTCTATGAAATTAAAAAGTATTATAAATTTTAAAGACTGGTGACCTAGGTATTATAAGTTTGCATGTACGTCGACCGAGACACAGAAGAAGGGACTAACGAATTTCGTTCTCAATTTCCAAATTGCATCATTTTGTCTACAGCGTTGATACTTCCGGCAGTATATCGATGCTAACTCAAAAATAGAATATTGGAAGAACTTGAGGTATTAATAAAGGAAAACCAAACAAGAAAATTCTACAAAACTCTGAATAATGCAAGAAAGGAATTCAAACCAAGGCTCAGACTATGCAAGGATATGGAGGGGCATATACTAAATACAAAAGAAGAAGTACTGAAAAGGTGGGTGGAAGACTTTAAAGAACTACCTACTATAGAAGTAGAAGATCCAGATCCAAATCAACCACCCGCTGGAGCAAGCAACAATTTACCATTAGAGCCTCCGTCAATTCAAGAAGTACGAGATGCAATAAAACACCTAAAAAACAATAAATCTCCAAGAAGCGATGGTATACCCGCGGAACTTATTAAATGTGGAGGTGCTACTGTGACTAATCAAATATATAAAATAATACTGAGAGCCTGGAATGAGGAACAAATCCCGGAAGAGTGGTGTATTGGAATCGTTTGCCCGCTACACAAAAAGGTCGCCTAAGTGCATATTCAGAGGAACTTCTCGGGGAATATCAAAGTGGTTTTAGGCCTGGTCGATCAACAACAGATCAGATCTTTGTGCTAAGGCAAATACTGGAAAAAACCAATGAATTCAATATCGATACATACCATCTTTTTGTAGACTTCAAATCTGCCTATGATAGTGTCCTAAGAAATAAATTGTATGAAGCCATGAATGAATTCCACATCCCCGATAAACTGATAAGATTGGTTAAGGCTACAATGCGTAATGTGGTTTGCAAAGTCGAAATACAGGGCGAACAATCACAGGCGTTTGGAACGCATGTTGGGCTGCGACAGGGAGACGCGCTGGCGTGTCTCCTTTTCAACATAGCACTGGAAAAGGCGATCAGAGATGCCCGAATAGACAACAGAGGAAATATTTTTAATAAATCATCCCAAATTTTGGCATATGCAGATGATGTGGACCTAGTTGCCCGCACAACACGCAAGCTAGAAGAAATGTATACCACCTTCTCAAATGCCTCAAAATCTATGGGCCTGCAAGTAAATGAGGAGAAAACTAAGATGATGGCATCAACACCCAACAATAGAGTCAGGAACATCGGTCCCCAATTCACGGTTGATAACTCTACCTTTGAAGTGGTGGACAAATTCACATACTTAGGCTCCCTGATCACCAAAGAGAACGCCATAACGGAAGAAATCAAGCGAAGGATAATAATGGCAAACAGATGCTATTTTGGACTGAGTAGACATATGAGAAGTAGAAACTTAAGCCAAAAAACAAAAATAACCATATACAAAACCCTTATACAGCCAGTGTTGACATATGGATCGGAGACATGGACCATCTCCAAGGCAGACGAAGACTTTCTGCTTATATTTGAACGAAGGATCCTGAGAGGAATATTTGGTGGCATCTGTGAAAATGGTGTTTGGAGGAGGAGATACAACTACGAGGTATACCACAGATATAAACAAATATTTGGTGGTAAAGACGTAGTATCTCTTATAAGAATAGGAAGACTAAGATGGGCAGGACATCTAGCAAGATCACAGCAGAACAACCCTCCTAGAAGAATCCTTATGTCACAACCCGTGGAAAGTAGAAAAAGGGGTAGGCCAAAACTCAGATGGAAGGATGGTGTAGATGAGGATGGTAGAAAGATAGGCGCAGCAAACTGGCAACGGTTGGCAATGGATAGGACTGCCTGGCGTAATAGACTTGAGATAGGGCTGTAGCACCATTAATGATGATGATGATGAACTCAAATGGCGTATAAAGAACCAATTTCAATACTAGAGGCCAAAAAAACGAAAATTTTGCCACGCTGCTTCAATGGCTGGAGGAACCATTCAAACCATTTACGAAAATATTACTCCAACATCAGCAACTAAGAAAAAATCCAAGGAATTCACAAAATAAACTGTATGATAATAAAATTGTTTAATAATAAATACTTTTGTTTTGAAGCCTGACATTGCATTACTAAAATAACCTAAGTCCATTTTAAAAATGTTTATTTAAAGAGTTTAGTAACGATTTAGAATGCTTTTGTTTTTGATAAATTCTTACATTAGGTGTAATCTATTAACTTCAAAGTTCACTTTTAGTGAAAATGTTCAGATAAACTCTCAAAATCATCTTGATATAAGGTTGAATGTTCGAATAAATGAACTTTGATAAAATGAAAGGCAGATATGGAGCACAGTTTTATTAATTAAATCTTGCCCAAGTACTTTCGCTTCCTAGAGCATCTTCAGGGGCATTTCGTCAATTTTGGGCTATCCAACAAGACAGACATTCTGCACTTGTTGGATTGCCCAAAATTAACGAAATGCCCCTGAAGATGCTCTAGGAAGCGAAAGTACTTGGGCAAGATTTTCTCAAATAAGCGATTCAATTAATCTTTTAAAATTCATACTTACTTTTGGAGTATCTAAGTCAAGACTTGAAGAAACAGAAAGAGTTTCGTCATAAGTTAAATAAATTTTACCATCATCATCTTGTTCCTCATTTTGATCTGTACTAGTTGCGGTACTAGTTGCAGGACTAGGGCTCACAGGCCTATTAGAAACAGGTACAGGGGGTGCTTTATCTTTCTTTAAAGCTGACTTGGTTTTGGGTTTTTCTTGATTAATCACTACAGCTGCATTACCGGAACTATGCTCACTAGTTTTTCCTTTTTCAATAATTCTTGCTTTTTCTGTATTAAAGTTTTGATCTCCTGACGAGTAGATCTCTTCCTGAGGCTGAGTTATTGTTACGATTTCTGCGTGTTGGAGCCTTGATGCATATATATCCTCCTCGGATTTAGTCTTGGTTAAAGTTTGAGCTTTTGATGGGTGTATTTGGTCTTCCTGGTGCTGTGTTGTTGTTGAAATAACTGAGTGTGCAGATTTTTCATTCGCATATTCTTTAGTCTTGGTCAAAATTTCTACGTGTTGAGTTTTTGATGGAGATATTTGCTCCTCGTGGTGCTGTGTTGTCGTTGAAATAACTGAGTGTGCAGTTTCATTCTTTTGCGAACTATTTATATTATTTGTGTCATTTTGTGTTAAACTGTGTCTCCTTGTAGCAGCTGTTTGTTGATTGGTACCCTGAACTCCTGCGGTAGAAGATATTTCATTATCATTAGATCCAGAGCGTTGTCGAGGTACAGCTCTAGCAGAACCATTTTCTTCATCATTTTTTCTCAGTTTAATTTCCGGAAGAGTAACTATTCTGTCTCTTGTTTTATCGATGTTTGTATTAAACTCTTTGGTATTAGAATTTATCACTAATGTTTTGCTGAAGCAGCCACGCCGCATACAAAAACAAAATACCATTTTGCCACAAAATGACGGTAAACGTCACAGTTGGTGTAAGAATCACTTTGTTACGTACCACAAGATAAGATAATCATTCTGAAAACACTTCACTACTACAGAAATTATAAAGAATGTCTATCAAACATATAAAAGTAAGGATTAAACTATATTCTTAAAAACCGAAACTATATTCTCTTGATAATACACTAAACTGTGCCTCTTACGTTAAAAGAATAAATTAAAAATTTCGGTGAGAATTTAAAATCACAATTGAATATTACGAGTAGACATCTGATAAAGAAATCTTAGATATTGTGAAACTTGAGATAATTGTAAAGTGATGATGAATTATTGCTGTTGATAACGTGTGTGGAACTATGTATTTTCTATAAAAATAAAAGATTCTTATCATATAAACTCTTAGAAGTATGTACAGATTGTCCCATTTATTTGTCTTTATCATATTATAATAGACGTCATTAAATTCGAACAAAAACTATCAAAAATATTTAAAATTTCTTAAGCAATGTGCCCTTTAACAAACCAATATGAAAAATAATTAAAAACTGACTTAAAAATTTGTGGATGGCATAAGAGATACTCGGAATAGGACAGATTATCAGGACAAACGACGTAAGCTACGAATAAAGGACACTCTATTAGGGACATGGAACGTACTAAGTTGGTATAGACCTGGAATTTCCACAAGAGCAATAAAACAGCTGGAAGAACTACAATACGATGTGACTGCAATCCAAGAAGTCAGATGGACTGGGTCTGGGACAATCCAAATGGAGAATAGTGTTATGGTCTGGACATGAAACACGTCATGAAAGAGGGTGTGGTTTTGTAATAAGCGAAAGGATTAAATCTGCTATACTAGATTTCAAAACAATTAATGATAGAGTCTGTAGCATAAGAATAAAGGGCAAATGGTTCAATCTATCGATATTCTCAGTGTATGCACCAACCGAAGAAGCAGCAGAGGAAGAGAAGGAAGAATTCTATGACTCCCTAACCCGATTATACACGGAAGCCCCAAAACATGACATCAAAATAATATTAGGGGACTTAAACGCAAAAATAGGCAAAGAAGAACACATAAGGCCGGTAGCTGGAAATCAGAGTCTACATGACATTACCAATGACAATGGTTCAAGGCTGATTGAGTTTGCAGCAGGGTGCAACATGATTATCAAAAGCACCCAATTTGTCAGGAAAAACATATATAAGGTAACATGGAGATCAAATGATGGAAGAACGAGGAACCAAATTGATCACGTATTAATTGATAGGAGGCATTCCAGTAGTATAATAGACGTAAGAACTAGACGGGGACCAGATAGTGATACAGACCATTTCCTAGTAAAGGCCAAGCTCAGAACTAGAATCTCAACACAAACAATAGACAGACAGATGAAGATCGAAAGATGGAATGTGTGTAAATTGGAAGAAGAAGAGGGAAAGAGACAATACCAACTAGAATTGAGAAACAGATTCCAGGTGTTGGAAACGAAAGAAAATGAAAGAGAAAATATAGACCAGAAATGGCACTCCATTAAAACGATCATTACAGAAACAGCAGAGAAGTGTATAGGTCGGAAGAGAAAAACAAAAAGAAAAAAATGGTTTGATGAAGAATGCGAGGATACCTTAAAAGAAGCAAACAAAAGAAGAATCGACTACCTAGCAAACCCGACGGATGAAAAGCGTGAACAATACAATAGAGAGAGAGCCTTAGCCAGAAGAACAGTAAGGAGAAAAAAGAGACAACATTTACAACAACAAATTGAAAAAGTAGAACGTGAACACAGAAGCAAGCAAAATAAAAAATTCTACAAAGAAGTAAGACAATATAAGAAAGGTGCATATATAAGAACACCGAACTTTGTGAGAGATAAAAATGAGCAAATGATTACAGCTGAAAATAAAATAATCGAAAGATGGGCTGAATACTTTGAAAGTATTCTAAATGTCCAGGTAGACGCGGATGGAGATAAAGCAAATTGTGAGTACCAAACGGCCGAGATAGAAGTACCCCCGCCAAGCCTGGAAGAAATTATCACGGCGATAGAAACCCTAAAAAATGACAAATCCCAGGGACTAGACAATATTGATGCAGAACTGATTAAAAAAGGAGGGCATGAACTTAGAACTAAAATACACCAATTAATGAAAGAAGCCTGTGAACAAGAAATAATGCCAAAAGAATGGAGTGGCTGTACTATCGTGCCAATACATAAAAAGGCAGAAAGGATACATGTGGCAACTACAGGGGAATCTCACTAATCGGTACTACATATAAGATATTAGCTTCAGTTGTACTAAAACGATTACTGCCATATAGAGAAGAAATTATTGGCGATTACCAATGCGGCTTTAGGCTTGCAAGATCAACAATCGACCAAATATTTACTATCAGACAAATGCTAGAAAAGTATTGGGAATATAATAAAGAAGTACACCAGATCTTCATAGACTTCAAACAAGCATATGATTCCATAGATCGCTTAAAACTGTGGAGTGCAATGATGGAGTTAGGCGTGCCAAAGAAGCTGACCATGATTTCGCCAATGTGTGTCAACAATTCCTTTGCACAAATTAGAATAGGAGGCAAAACTTCAAAGGCTTTCGGCATAAGCACCGGGCTCAGACAGGGAGACCCGCTGTCACCATTACTATTTAACCTAGCATTGGAATACGCAATGCGAATAACTGCCAGAGGAGCAAAGATTATTCTCGCATTTGCAGATGATGTAGATGCAGTAGCACAGACAACACTGGAAGTTAAGGATATAGTATCGAACTTTGAAGAAGCAACACTAAGCGTAGGCCTGAAAATAAACGAAGAAAAAACTAAATACATGGTCGTTTCAAAAAAGGAACGTCAGCGAATAAGACAAAACATTACCATAATCGATCATAATTTTGAGGTAGTCAAAGAATTCAAATACCTAGGAGCAACAATTACCAGTAAAAACACGGGAGAACGGGAGGTTGAAATACGAATACTGGCGGGGAATAAATCATTCTTTGCCATTCAACATCTAATGAGGTCAAAGTTTCTCTCAAGGCGTGCCAAAATCCAAATGTACAAAACCATAATACGACCAGCAGTGACATATGGAAGTGAAACATGGACATTGAGAAAGAAAGAAATCAATAAGCTATTAGTATGGGAACGCAAAATCCTGCGAATTATATATGGTCCTTGCAGGGACAGCGTGAGAAATGAATGGAGGAGCAGATACAACAATGAAATAAAGACTCTCTTCGGGAAAGGAAACATCGTAAGATACATAAAAGCCAATAGATTAAGATGGGCAGGCCACGTGGTACGGAGTGATGACGACAGACTGATTAGCAATGTGTTTTGGGAAAGACCAGATGGTGAAAGATCGACAGGAAGGCCTAGAAAAAGGTGGAAAGACGCAGTTAGGGAAGACCTGGAGAAGATGGAAGTAAGGCCATGGGAAATAATAGCACAGGATCGGAATCAATGGAAGGCAATAGAAAACGCGGCAAAAACTCACGAAGAGTTGTAAAAGCCAATGACGATGACAAGAGATACTGAAGAATAGGGATCAAAAGTAGGAAGTAAAAAACCATTCGACGATAGCTTCAATATGTACAAAAAAGTAAAAGAGATAGCAGGGATTCGGAAGCAAAGCCACATTGGGGTACTTGAGGACAAAGATGGAAAAATAATTACGGATCTAAAAAATAAACTACGGAGATGGAATGATGAGAATTTTCAAGATGTATCGACCGACTGACAGATCTAGGCGTTAATACAAGCGAGAATAGAGTGGACTATTCCAGATTATTATGATCAACTGGAGTGTAAGAACTATAGTGGCATTAATCTGTTAGTATCTGCAGTATAATAAAAAGAAATACATTATAGAATGCAATGATAGACGATGGGATCACACTTTAGTAAGGTAAGTTGATCCAACTAACAATGTAAAACGTAATTGAAGGAGAAAACTCTACGTTTTTTGACATTAATAACAGGGGGATGCCCTGGCATGTCTCCTCTTTAATATTGCCCTGGAAAAGGCAATCAAACAATATTAGAATTAATCGAACTATTTTTTGTAGATCAACAGAGAATTCAAATTAACAATCATACCTTTGAGGAAGTCAAATAATTCACATATCTTGGATCGCTAGTAAACGCAACAAACACGACAAGCGATGAAATAAAAAGACGCATAGCAATAACAAACAGAACTGTTTACGGTCTCCACAAACATTTAAAAAATAAAAATATAAAACGTGCAGTAAAACTCAATATATACAAGACCTTAATAAGACCGGTTTTGATATATGGGGCTGAAACGTGGACCTTATCTCAAAATGATGAATGACTTCTTGGTATTTTTCAGTTATACACCGATCCAGGTATTGTGAAATTTGTTAAAGTGCAGAGGCTTAGATGGGCTGGACACATTGCTAGGATGTCAGATCACAAATATACGAAGAGATTAACATTTTCAAAACTAGAGGACACAAGAAGTAGAGAACGATCACAAAAGAGATGGATTGATGATGTGGAAGAAGACATATTAGACATGAGTGATACACAATGGCCAGGAAATGGCAAATGTCCCACAAATAATCATGGACTGTTTTATTATGTCGGAAGTGACACCACAACCCATCGATACGGAGTTGGAGTCATGATCTCAAAAAAATGGAAAGATGCTGTAGTAAACTTTATTCCTTTCTCAGAGCGTGTAATGTTAATACAATTGAAAGATAAGAAGGACATAATAAACATCATACAAGTGTACGCTCCGACAGCAGACAAAGACGAAGAGGAAATAGAACAATTCTACAATACTTTAAACGAGGTGATGAGAACAACAAAGAGACAACACATTAACATAGTAATGGGCGATCTGAACGCCAAGGTAGGTGAGGATAAAGTTGGAGAAAATGTCGGTGAATATGGCTTAGGTAATAGAAATGAAAGTGGTGACCGTTTAGTTCAGTTTTGTCAAAGCGAAGATTTAATAATAACTAATACATTCTTTAAATTACCCCCCAGGCGACTGTATACGTGGACATCAGCTCAACACTCTCAAGAAAAAATAATCAGAAACCAAATAGATTACATAATGGTAACAAAAAGATACCGTAATGCCGTAAAATCTACTAAAACTTATCCCGGGGCTGATATCGGTTTAGATCATAATCCAGTAGTATCTGTGATAGAAGCTAGATCAAAGAAAATAAGAAAAACCATCATCCCAGCTTTAGACTTAAGCCAGCTTAAAAGTGAACACCTACGACAAACAGTGCAAGAAGAAATAAACGCCAGCCTCAGTATAGCAGAAAGTAAAATCTGCAGAACAGACAACATAGATGAAAAACTTAAGTTTATAAACACTGCAATAAGAACTACGGGAAAGAAACACCTAATCAGATCTGCACAGAAATACATGGTATGGATGACACCAGATATACTAGAACTAATGGATTAAAGATGTAAAATGAAGAATAATGCACAAATATACAGAGAGGTTGATAAGATCATAAAGCAAAGAATAAAGAAGGCCAAAGAATTATGGATTGAAGAACAATGTGTAGAAATGGAAAACTATGAAAGAAAATATGGCACATTCAATGTACATAAAAAAGTAAAAGAAATTACAGGAACTCAAAGAAGACATCAAATAAGTTTGCTGAAGAACAAAGGCGGAAAGATTATTATAGATTTAACAGAGAAAATTAATAGATGGAGTGAATACATAAGAGAATTGTTTGAGGACAACAGAAATAACATTGTTCAGGTAAATGATGAAACGGGACATGAAAACCTAAAATTTGAAGTAGAAATGGCACTTAGAAATTCCAAAACTGGAAAGGCAAATGGACCTGATGAGGTTCCTACTGAATTGCTAAAGCTCTTTAATGTGTCTATGCCGCTGAAGCGCTACACCTGCAATACGATCGTCGTCTTGCACGTGCATACTCAAATAGTTGAGTAATATCCCCTCCTTAGGAGATGGTTCCTCTTGGAACTAAATTGGGACTGGAACTGGATGCTGGTATCGGCAACTGGACCCTCTGTATAAAAGTGACAAGGAATGGTTTTCGCTCCGCACCGGTAACCAAGCGGATTGCAACAGACTAGTACCAAGTGTCTTAGGTGTCTTTAAAGATTTTCTCGACCATATTTCGGAAAACCCTCCAATCTAATTCGCGGCACTCTAACTTTGGCATGGATAACTTTTATACGTTGGACTCCAGTACGTGCTCCCTAAATTTAAGTAATGTTTCCCATATATCTTGATATGTCGGTTAATCATGGGCAGTGTCTTTAATTACCACATAGAAAAGATAACGTGATGTATCTTGGAGTTTCAAAGCTTTTGGAGACTAAACTTCCTTCCAAAGATGCATGCCAAACCTTGTGCGCTTTTAATACTAGCCAGAATACTATTTACTAGTCAGTATCATCTAGGAGTGCAAGCAGATCTTGCTTTTCTTCAGTGGTAACACCATTCCTTGCTTTGCCGGTACTTTCGCCCATAAATTCCTCAAACTTCTTGGACATGGTTTACTTCTACTTCTTCCTCTACGTCATGGTCTCCTTCGAATGCCACCAGCCGGTTATGGTGTACTATTGTCGGCTTTCCCCTCGAACTCTTGCTTATACGGTAAATGCCATCGTTAATCTTCTCCATAATGAGGTAGTGGCCTTCCCAGAACTAATGTAACTTGGGAGAATAACCTTTTCGCCTCTTTGGAATATAAAGTCAGACTTTCTCGTTATTCTTAAAACATCCCTTTTCGCCTTGGATTTCATACTGTTTCTTCATTCAGATACTAGCGATCTGAAGATGGGAACGGACCAACTTGTGTATATCTCACATTTTTTTCGCAATTTGTTTACATAATCTGCACCAGCTACATTTTCTCCTGGTCAATATCCAAACTCTAGATCTTTGGCCGGTGTTTGGGCCGTTGATTCATTAACAACGAATCTATAGGGCGTTGCGAAGAACGGAAGGCACTGGTCCCAGTCTCGGTGATGATTGGACACCATTTTTGTCAAATACTTGCCAATTGTCTTATTCGTTCACTCTACGTGAACGAATCGTTGTTCTTAGCACTGCTGTCTGCTTGGATTATGTTAGTTGCTTTGTTACAGTGGGAATACTCTGCTAGGCACGCCCTTCTAGAAAGAGAATCAGCGGTCTGTGACGAATTCCAGCCCGATGTTTAATCTTGAAATAGTATTCTTGGAGTTATTCAATCCATTTGGCTCTCTGATCTTCTGGATTCTTCATTTGCATTAACCACAACCGGAATCGGTTCGGATTAAGAACTTCCTTCCATAGAGGTACTGATAGAAGTGTTCTACTGATTTCACTACTGTGACAAGTTCTCTCGTAGTGGCGCAACAATTTCACTCAGGTATTAAAAGCGCTTTACTAAAATATATAAGGATTCGTTCCTGTCTTGAATAAAATTTGATTACTGGTCAAATAACAAAATTATTTACAATTTCTGGGTTTTTGTTAAACAAATGAAACAACTTGTTCTTTAAAGAAACATATCATTTAATTTTCGTAAAATTACTTTGTATAAAACTTATTCCATCTCGTTGTCCCTTCCCAATCTCGGGAAAAACGCTGATCTTCCTAACCGGGGTGCAAACATGGACCTTTGGACTATTTCCGTTATTTCGTCTTCACTGAGTCCCTCCAAGCTGCTATCTTTTGGGTTAAAATTCAAAAGACGACCCTTTCCTAAAAATTGAAAACATAATTAATTTAATGTATAATACTTTTTAGTGGGTAAATTTTAATAGTTTGGATTTTGTATGGTAAATATGAAAAAGTCATAGCGGCTGAGCAAGATAAACAAGATCGAAAAAAATAGACGAAATAAGGATGACGATAAAAGCAGAAAATAAAAATCACAACATAAAACCATTGTGCAACTACCTGAAGATAAGAATAACATAAAATAAAGCCAGTTCAACAAGTTAAAAGACACAGGCAAATGTTTCAAAGAGTCGTACCAAGAAACACATGTAGAACAAAAAAAAATAAAATATTTTAGACATAATGACAAACTTAAAGATAATGAAAAACCAATAAAAATCAACAATCATTAAAAAAAAATCATAATAATAAATAGGGACACAGCAACATGAACAAATACGTCAGCAACATTAACAGTAGGCTTGTGAGTGAACTATGGTACATGAAGTAAGAGGAATTGATTCGTATGCGCGTTATGTGAATATAAAATGCTTAGTGACATGAGGTAGTTATACATTGAAGCCAGATAAATCTTTAAATTCTCGGTAAGAAAATGTCTGGCTTTGATCAAGAACATGAAATTTATTGTTGGGATTTAATGATAGAATAAGATTTGGTATAATTTTGTTACGACCAAGAACCAGGGACAGGAAGTATATTTTTATCAACTGCTTTTATCAATGTTTTTTGGATATAATGGGCTCCTCAGCACCCACACTTAGATCGACAGCATTAGGGCTGGTATACCCCGTAGCGGAATACTGTGCACCAGTATGGATAAACAGTCCACATACTCACCGTGTTGATGTCCAACTCAACCAAGCCATGCGAACTATATCGGGCACAATCAAGGCCACGCCCACTTACTGGTTACCAGCTTTGAGTCATATAGCTACACCACCCATCCGCCGGGAACATGCCCTTGTCAGAGAATTTACAAAAATCAATACTGATCCTGAGCTCCGCTCCCATGTCGGAACTTCCGCCAGAGACATAAATAGGCTCCGTTCAAGACACCCGCCTCTAAAAACAGCAAAAAGGCTAGTAGATCAAAACTTTAATGTAACTGAACGGTGGAGAGAACAATGGGAGAATAACGCTGCACCAGCTAACTGGAACATGCCATGTATTACAAGCAAACCTGAGGGCTTCAACCAACCGAGACGAATTTGGACCACACTCAATAGAATAAGGACGAACTGTGGCAGATGTTTCGACTCACTTTTTAGATGGGGAAAAATACAATCATCAAATTGCGACTGCGGCGCCGAAAGGCAAACAGTAAAACACATGGTAGAGAAATGCCCGATTAGATTCTATAACGGCAACCCTTCGGATTTTCTGGCTGCTACAAAAGAGTCAATCGAATATATTTATAATCTAGATGTTTGTTTGTAGAATAATATTTTTGTATTTACTGTTGTTTGTAATTTATATAATTTATATTATATGTATATATATGAACCTGTGATGTAGCCATACGCTAAATAAAATAAATAAATTTGGATATAATTATATGGTTAATTGAAAGATGTCTGGTTTTTTGTAATTTCTTTTAGGCATGTGACCATAGCACTTATAGTTAAATGAGATATCATTCACAATCTAGGTCTAAATGAAACTATATTTTTATCAACTGCTGTATCAATGTTTTTTGGATGCAATTATATGTTAAATTGAAAGATGTCTGGTTTTTTGTAATTTCTTTTAGGTATGTGACATAGCACTTTTAGTTAGATGAGATATCATTCATAGTCTAGGTCTAAACGCCACATAGAAAAACAAAACAAAACATAGCTTCGAATGATTCTAATTTATAACTGCACATTACTGGTGGTTTGATAAGGAACCTACTTTGAAATGGAAAACATGCTTTTCCAGAAGATTCTTTTACGTTATTTGATATAGTCTTCAAAATACAGAACTTTTTCTGTTTGTTATAATCTAATGTTATTAACATAAAGCAAAACTATAAACGATACGAAATATGATTAAATTAAGATATTATTTCAAATGAGAGACCAATATCTTTAAAAAATTATATTTTATTAAAGAAAAATTTAAGACAGAAAAAACTTTGACGAACATTTCAGTAAACAATGTAAATAAAACACTGAGAAAAATGGGGCTTATGGCTTAGACAAGGAAAGGGAGACGACAGTTAACGCTCATTTAATAAACATTCGAAAAGTGAAGCCAATTTCTATGTGGCCGCCATGTTTTGGTGCCTGTACATTGCCCATTACTACCTCTGGTTCTAGAGAACTTTAGTTGAACTTAAGTTCACTAGACGGCGCCTCTTATCTTACTGAAAATCTATAAATATTTATGGTCGTAAGTGTATTCTTTGCAAAATATTTTATATTATTGTTTAAAATAGAAAGTTACAAATTATTTTTACTTGAGAGGTCTTTTAGATATTACTTGAAACTATCAGCGCCATTTAGTGTCCTTTAAAGTTTCGAAGTAACTATTCTAGCAATTAAACTGAAACAATACCTTCTTTAAGATTTTCCAGTCAATATATGCTTATCAATATATTATACTCTTATCAATATCGATCATATGAGATTGATAAGAATAAAATTTCAAAACTTTTAAGCAACTAATAATGGTTTGTATTATCTTAGATTAAGAGAAAAATACAGGAAATGAGTATTATTAACGGACACGTCCCTACAGAAGGAAAATATATGGAAATAAAACCAGATCACTGCAACCAAACTTAGAGCGAGCCAAAGAAAAATGGAACGGTCGTTACTTGGACTGACTCTCAGAGGCAGGTATAGAAATGAAGAAGCATAAGGACAGGCGTCACAGATGTCATAGAGCGCAAAGCATAGCTGAAGTGGAACTGGACGGATCACGTATCCAGAATGAATGATGGGTTGTGAATCCAAAAAATTACAGTGTGGAGATCGATAGCAGACATAACAAGCAGAGATACACCAGGTACACGATGGCCAACAGAACTGGAAGAAATTAGGGGAGGCCTATGTTCAACTTTGGACGCGGAAGGCTGGATAATATAATAGATCAAATAACCAGATAGACAGATTATTTCGAAGGCCTAACACAAAGACGGAATTAAACGGAAAAAACCAAATGGCAATCATAGAAGCACAACAACGAACAAAAGAAATTGATCAAGAATAAATAAAAGTCCCGACAGTAGAGGAGGTTAAAGAAATAATAAAAGAACTTAAAAATAAAAAACAAAAAAAAGAAGAAGTTGCACAAGGCCATGAGAAAAAAATTTCCAATCAACAAAGGTTCAAAACACGACACTAATCACACTAATGACACTATGTTATATAAGCATATGTTTCGCTATACATAGAAGAAATATAGATAAAAAAAGCGTAAGACAGGGATTTGCTCCTCAGAGACTGTATTCTCTTTTCACCACTGTTTAACATTTGTGAAAAAAAGATATCAGCTTTCACTACAGAACGAAAATGGCATCAAAATTAATGGTCTCCCTATTTAAAACCTAAGACATGCTGACCACACGCCCAACATCAAGTGGAACTGTGACCTGAAAGTGAAGATAAGTGTAGCAATGGCTAGAAATGTCTTCGTTAAATTTAATAAATATCCTCTTCGCCGTGAAATTCCTTAACCCTTAGAATCCAGGTTCTAATGCTCAAAGAGAATTGTTAAATCTCGGTAAGCAGCAAAAAGTTTCATACTTGGGTTAAATTCTATGAAATAACAACTATAATCTCCTAAATGTCATCTAGATGAGTAAAGTTAAAGGTCAAAGAGGCTCTGGACGAAAAAACCATTTATTTTTCAAAGCCAAAAAACTGGTGTAGCATACCTGATGTCAGTACGAAAATAATAAGAGCAGAAGAAGGATCTCTGTACATTCGACAGCAAGCATGATTGCGTGTACTCTGTATAGCGTACAGCGCCCAAAGAATATTGTTACGATTTTAAATGTTATGGCATATAGAACTGTAAATATTTTATGACTAATTCTTTTTATTGATTCTCGTAATTTGTAGGTCAAAATATACCTGAGCTTAGCTACCAGTTGTTTACCAGAAATCTCTAGACACTAATTTTGGTGAATCATCCACGTCTCGAGGTTGAAAAACGAGTCGAGCGCCTTCACCAAAATACGAGACTATTCAAGAAGTCCGCCGAATTCTCTGGATGACACAGTTGTGTATATAAATGAAAGATTTTTATTTGGCAGTCAGTCATAAGAAGATCGGTAAACGCGGTACTTGTAACGAAACGAAAATAAATTATTTGTAATATAAATTAGAATTAATAAAGACTTTAATAAATTCGTAATTAGTTATCGTGAGTTTTAATAAATTAGAATATAGACAATAAATTAGAATAAAGACAAATAAATTAGAACTATATAAATGTACAACATTTGGTGTCAGGTGTAGGGTATTTAAATAAACAAGCGGGACTTTAAATAAAAAGAAGTGAAATTGGTGAACAATGGCTACGATTTACGAGCTCACAGTTACGAATCTAAGAAGGCATCTTGAGGATAGAGAATTAGCTTCTACCGGAAAAAAGGCTGAGTTAGTCCAACGACTAAAGAATGCTTTGGAGGAAGAGGGTTTAGATCCGGAAACTTATATATTTGAAGATGCTGTCATCGCGTCAATTTCAAAATTAGAGAATAAAGTTTCTGGTGACATCGCATCGTTAGAGAACAGAGTTCATGGCGATATTTCGAAAGTTTCCTCTGATGTAGCCAAAGTCTGTGGTGATGTAGCCAAGGTTTCCTGTGATATCGCTTCTTTAGAAAGCAAAGTTTCTAACGAGATTTCTTCTTTGGAAAGCAAGGTTTCTGCTAACATCTCTAAAGTCACCTCTGAGATGTCTGCCCTCGACGATAAAATGTCTTCGTTAAAGAACCAAGTTGCTGCCGATATGTTGGCCTTCGAAGAGAAGATAAAAGAGATGGAAAGGAAGATGGAGGAAACAACGACCGCAGAGAGAGAAAACAA